ATTTTTTCAAATATATTGCATATGATAGATTTCTGAAACATTTCTGTTGCATCATTTTATATGACATATTGCAGAATTCTGTCAGAAATGTTGAGCATGAAATGTGAAATATCGAAATAATTTTGAAATCTTTCTGAAACCTTTCTGCAACAATTTATGCTGTATGGGTACTAGATTTACATTGTTTCCCAATATTGCGCTGCTAGGGCTAATTTGTCTCGAGGGAAACTGGTGAAAGAATAATCTGATTTACGAAGAAGATATCTCTCGAGCAATTAAATTCGACTCGCGCGAAGGATGGAAAGGTACTCTCTAAAATTTGTGGAGTGAAAATACTGCCGTGGAGTGAAATGTTCACCCTATTGGCGTGAATATTTCCTCCAACAGAGTGAATATTAACTCCAATGGAGTAAACATTTCACTCCATGGCGGTATTTTCACTCCACAAATTTTAGAGAGTAATTAAGGACCAGACCACTAGATTGATGAGAAATGATTGCAACCAGGTATCACGCTGAACGATGGGGCGGAGTGGAAAGAATTGCGCGGCTGGACAGTACGCACTCTGAGGAGCGTCGGTTTCGCCAAGCGGGCGATGATGGATCTGCTCGTTGACGAGATGACGCTTATCCTGCAGAGGCTGGCGGACGGCGGCGTGCGGCAAATACGGCCCGTGATCGCGCCCGCGGTGATAAATGTTCTCTGGATGCTGGTGACGGGCCGGAAGCCGTCCGAGAATCTGCCGAGGTAAACGTGAAATCGTCGCCGGAACAATCGAAAGGCACACTCGTGTACCACCGCTTCCTTCGCTTCCGCGCTTTTATTTCCGGTGGTACTCGCGAGGAAGGAAGTCGGCGGGGCTCGCGCCGGATTGTTCTCACTTGGTTTCCGCGATTGCTTGCAGGCTGCAGAAGTTTATAGATCTGCTGGACCGTCGCGCGCAACAGTTCGATATGACCGGCGGCATTCTGTCCACTTTCCCCTGGATACGTTACATCGCGCCGGAGATGTCGGGGTACAACATCCTCGTCACGTTGAACAACGAGCTCAAGAGCTTCCTAATGGTGCGTAATCCCTCGCCGGCCCTCGATGTCGAGTCAATTTCAGCCTCCCGCTCGCCGATACTTATATACTGATCGCGCCGCACCTCGTGTTTCCGCAGGACACCATCAACGAGCACAAGGAGCGGTATGTCAAGGGAAATGAGACGGACTTTATCGATATGTTCCTCTACGAGATGTACAACAGCGAGGCGCAGCGAGACAAAGTCTCCGCCGTGTTTTCAGGTGCGCTGACCCAGTTGCTTCTCTGTCGCCGAGCGACGGTCCAGAGAGCACAATTCTCGCCAAGAAATTAACGCTTCCTCCCGGCGCGGCGTGCCCGGTCGGTCGCGTTAATGAAAGCACCGCGCTCGCGGGAGAGAAAGCCAGGTTCTCGTCGCGAGCACGACACACGCGCGATAAACCCCCTCTTATTATTTGTTTTTATTCTTCTTACAGATGACAATCTGCTCGTGACGTTGATCGACTTCTTCATCGCCGGCACCTCCAACACAACTTCGACGTTGGATATTCTCTTCTTGCAAATGGCCAATCACCAGGAGGTGCAGCGCAAGCTGCAGGAGGAGATCGACGACGTGATCGGTCTCCAAAGGTTTCCCAATCTGGAAGACAGAGTCAAGTAATAACGGCGTGACTTTGTGTCTTTATGTCGTTAAGAAGAGTCGCGATTGCTTTTTCTAATTTGTTTTCGAGGGGAGGATAGGGACATTATTCTTCTTGCCACTTTCCGATTCGAGAAATTAGTCAGTCGATTTATACAGAGAAAAGCCCCCTCTTACAAGACAGGCTCCTGATATAAAACAGCGGGTTCTCAGCGTCCAATTTTACAAATCTTTTTTGCAACGACTTTCACACGCGCGATCTAACGATGAGTTCTCCACTAAACAAGACTTCGCTCTAAGGGCAATAAATTCACGGTGGAACCAACAAATGATGCCTACTAATTTAGAGACCCCGCTATCTCGTATCAGGAGAGTTGCCACGTGACAGTCCAGCGAGAACACTATTAAATTACTACGTTCAACCTTCCGAATACTTTTAACATTTTATGGGAGAGAACTGCCAAGTTGACTTATTAAAACTTGAACACAAAAAATTAAGTTCCCAAACTTTTAATTATTTTCGAAAACTGACAGCTGGGACGCGACTTCGATCACGAGACACGGTAGTGTCTCACGCCAAGTATAAGCCATAAAATTGTAAAATGTAGCTAGAGCCGCGCGCGCGAGACCGACCGTGTGGTTTACGCGAGTATTCTATTGACGTCGACTCGGCGTTTTCACTGGGCGGGGACTCTCCTCTATTACATTCCAAATTAATTGCAGAATGCCCTTCACGGAGGCGATATTAACCGAGTGTCAACGCATGTGGGTCGTCACGCCTATGATCGGGCCACGTCGCGTTCTCGGTAACACGACCCTCAATGGTTACAAGATACCGGAGAACACCATCGTCCTCATGAACATATATGCGAACAATATGGACCCGAAGAACTTCCCCGACCCGACTTCGTTCAAACCGGAGAGGTATATAAACAAGGCTGGCACCTACGAGCTCCAGGAAAATATCATACTGTTCGGCAAAGGTCAGTGAATTACGAGGGTTCTTTCATTTACAAGTTCTCTTGTTTAGAAAACATGTTTCGAGTTTAGTTTCGTCAAATTGACGAGCGCAGCCCGCGGGCTACGCTACAATTCTTTTCATGCGCTACTCTGTTTCGTTATTAAGAATAAGCGAAATTTCGCGAGCGTTTCACGCGGGGAAATAATAACCATGAGAAATTCAGGCAGTTTTGCAAGGCGGAAACGATCGCTTCGTTCACGTGCGTCGTTAATGTGCTTAATCGCGTTTAAGACATTCCCGCGGTATCGTAACGTATGTACATAATTACGATAGCTCTTTCCTGTTTTCTTTCCGGGTGCTTCGCGGCGCGACCGGAAGGTCGTGGGGAATGCCTTTCGCGGTAAAAAAAAGAAAAAGGCGAACGGTACTCTCTTAATTTAACACTCGCGCCGAAGAATCGCGAACGATGGCGATTAAATTGATCGTGATCTCGTGAGTCGATCCGTATTTCACCGTTTCCGAGAGAGAGGAATGTATCTTTCTGTTTTTTTTCTCTCTTACATAGGAAAGAGAAGATGTCCCGGAGAAGCTTTGGCAAAGTCGGCTATATTCCTACTGTTTGTCAGCGTAATGCAGAAGTACCGTTTACTCCCGGTGCCAGGGGAAAAATACATTAGAATGGACCTGAAGACTGGACTGACAATTTCACCGAAGCCTTATGAGATGCTAATTGTCCCGAGATAAGATATTGTATCGCAGACTATTGGATAGATAAGCGAGCTCTTAATTAAAAAAACACGTTTCGAGTTTAGTTTCATCAAATGGACGAGTGCAATCTACGGGCTGCACTACAATTCTTTTAATGTGTTACTCTTTGTTTCGTTATTGTTCTCAGATACGGTAATATTGGAAGAAAAAAGGGGAGAGAAACAAAAGAAACAGATTACGATACAAACGCATTTTACATATAAGTTTGTATCTTCTCCTTTTGTTCGAAATTTATACTTTGCAAAGTAGTTATACTAGCGCTAAAAGCATTAGCATATAGAATAAAGTAAGAATTGAAGAGTGGTGAAGGCTCCAAAGAAAAATAGAGTCGATGAAGGATGGCCACCCATACAGCACAAGAACGTCCAGCAACGTTGCAGCAACATTGCAGCAACATTGCAATGTTGCTGCAATGTTGCTGGACGTTCATTGCTATATGGGCAATGGGAGCCAATAAATGCGGGAACACAGCGCGCGGTTTAAACGTGGAAAATATATTCTTTTGTTGAAACGTTTCGACCCATGTTCGGGCTTTCTTCAGTGATCGGATACAACAACTAGAATTCACAAAAATTCACTGTGAGTTGTTACAAAGTAGTAATCAGAATTAAATTAAATATAAAATGGTCCGGAAGTAGATCCCAGTTTAGAGAAAAGAAGTGTAGTAAAGGCACAGCGTGATCGAAGGTCGAGGCGAATCTTTTGAATTCTAGTTGTTGTATCAAATCACTGAGGAAGACCCGAACATGGGTCGAAACGTTTCAACAAAAGAATATATTTTCCACGTTTAAATCACGCACTTGCCTTCCCCCGTCGACTCTTTAAAGTAAGAATTGATACTAAGACAATGTCGCATTATGAATGTAAGTTTTGTAATCAATTAAAGTATCAAATACAGCATATTGAGCAGGATTTTTATTGCGATTTTATTAGAGTATTATTTTCAAGACTTCTGCCTTACTGCCACGCTGGAAGGAGACAACGAACCGACCGGCGTCGGAAGGCGATATCGGCTGCGCATCCATAGAGACCCACGAGTGAAACACACGACGCGTCTTTCTCGTATTAGACCGCGTGAGAGCTAGTAAATTGCTAGAAATGCACGCGGCACATTTCTATTAACTTACATCCGTCCATCGAGGCTGTCATCTACCTTTCATACTTGCGTCTAGCATTTCAAGCCGCGCGAATAAGTAATCGAAATCGCATCTTCTTCGCGCGTCGCTGGATTTAAGTCATGAAACGTTGTACAACGCGCCACGTGCCGCGAATAAGATATATATTTAATTGTCAGAACTCGCGTTCGGGAGCTCGCAGAGGACGTGCCATGCGAGAAACGAGCGAGGCGGCGTCAGTGCTTCGAAACACGACTCCTGCTTTCATTGATAAGGATGTCAGAGATAAATATTTCTTTTAGACTTTGGTCTGAAGATAGCTATTCGGTCTTGCGCCCGAATCTCTCTGTATTTTCGCTACGTATGGAGACACGGCATCGTCGCCTCGAGTCGAACGCGGCGCGCGTTAGCGATCGACCTGCCTCGTATTATGTATAATGTGTTATGCGCGTTATGGCTTGAACAAAAAGAAATTCGTTTCCGTTAACCGATCCTATACGCGGCATCGAGCGGCGCGGCCCCGGCGTTTGCGAACGGGCGTTTATTGGTTCTACGCCGTGAAAGTCTTGCTTTTACGCGAACGTTTTACGAGTTCGACGAAATCGAGCCCCTTCGCAGAAGTCCAAATGTACCGTCATGTGCTCGCGCGGGTCACGTGGCGATCGTCCCCGCGTTCGGGTCTCCGCCTCGCGAGCCTGAGGTAGTACGGTTTCGGCGACAGGGTGAAACCGTCGTAGCCGTTGAGGCTCGGCCGCTCGTGCTCGGCCGAGAGCTCCATGTCGAAGTAATGCACGACGTAGGTGAAGTACAGGAACAACGAGGAGCGCGCCAGCTGCTCACCCAGGCAGCGTCTCTTGCCTGGAAAAAAAAAACGGGAAACAGTCCGCCCGCATTCCCGCGATTAGCCCCAAACAATGGCGAGGGATTGATTATCTCTCTCGCATACCTTCGCCGAAGGCTGAAAAAATTTGCGCAATCCGGAGAGAGGCCGGAGTAGAAAATGACTTTTGCGAGATGGTTGCGAAAGTGGGACATTAGCGGCTACATTTCGACGCGTTGATTACGCGCCTCTCCTGTAGCCTCGACTTTATTGAGATTTACCTAAACCGAAAGGTATGCTGTAGTTGCTCCGGCAGAATTGACCCTGCTCGTCTAGAAATCGCTGCGGTCGGAACTTATCCGGTTGGTCCCAGTACGCCTCGTCGTTGTGAGCGCTGTGGTAATTGAAGAGAACAATCGTGTCCTGCAAAATAATGGACCCGCTTGAAGTTTGAAGCGTGTAGTAAAGCGCAACTTTTAACGCAACCACCGGTCGACAATTAATCGCCGAGCTTCGATGTGCAAAAACAGATATTCTAATATTTTGTTTCTTCCGTTGTACACCAACGGGCTGAAAGAACTTGGCGGTGCGAATCACGTTGCGCGATTTATCTTTCAGAAATACGCGCGAAGAAGGCTCGAGTTAGAAATGTTAATTTTCATACATCGAAGCTCGTCGATTATCCACAGCCCGATCTATTACCTTGGGTATTCGATAGCCGTTTAGAGAAACGTCCTTCGCGGCGCTGTGAGGTACGCCGAGTGGAGCCAAAATTAGATACCTTTGCACCTACGTTAAATATACAAATTTCATACCCGTGTCATGTACGTTGCAGCCAGAATGTTGGTGTCTTCGCACTTAAATATCTTATCTCTGCATTATCGTCATTTATTTCTTAATAATTTTCTTAATAATTCTTAATAATTTAATAATTATATGTTTTATAATTGAAGCTTATTTACGACACTGCAAAAAGTGTTAAGTCGAAAGAATCTTTCTTTTTCAACGGTCATCCCTTACGAAAAAGTAACGAAATAATTACTAGAAAATTACTGAATATTAGTAATTGAACCGTTAGAAATTACTGATGTGTACAGTAATTTTTTAAGTAATTACTTCGTTGCTCTTCCGTAAGGGATTCTTTCTAAACATCTTGAATTGTTACTAGAATCAGATATATTATTGCATTAAGAAAATTTAATATGTTCAGAAAGCATTTTTAATACAAAATTATTTACTTATAACATCATATTTGCCAGCAATGAGATTTCTCTCGAAAATACTAGCTGTCAATAAGTTATACACTTCGTTGCGACGCGTTTGTACCTAACATCTATATCCTTGTAATATATTTCTCTTTTTTATGTTACCTCGGCTAAGAAAGCTTCCGTTATTGGCAAGGATGGTAAATCATTCTCGGTTGGAGCGCGCGACCTACCAACGACACTGTCCAGCTCGGCTTGAAGTATCTTCAACCACTCGGGGTTCAGCGACAGGAAGAGAAACGTAGTCGCTAAGGTGTCAGTGGTCGTCTTCGACCCGGCCAGGAAAAGGTCGAGACACAATATCAATAAATTCTCGCCTGCGGCATAAAACATGCGCATGTTCGGATCAACGATGATTTATTACTTCTTTCGTCGTTGCGTCGTCGGACAACATAAAAATTACTCAATTCAGGAGAAGAAAATTATTTACGACTACACGCGTGTCTTTTACTAGTTTTAGTTAACGTTCTACAGACATAATTCCAACGAGATAAGCGAAACTTGTCGAAAATGTCTCGGACGACTTCGTCGCAGTGATTTTGGGCGCAAATAAAATTTAATTGACATAAATCGAATGGAATACAATTAGTTTAAGCAAGTCCCATGTTGTGCGGCGTATCAACTTACGATCGAATATTGTATCTTCCTTCTCGTTGTTTTTATACATCTCCAAAAGGAACGCATCGATCAGGTCACGCGGCTGATCATAGGACAATTCCCTCTCGTGAATCCTGATCTCCTCGTGGAGGAAGCCCCACAGACTTTCGAGAATCCTCATTAATTCGTTGTATCCCGACAGTTCCGGAATCACGAAACGTAGAAAAGGTATCTGCGAAATCATTCCACCTAGGGCGTCCGTTAATCTGTGTAAAATATCAAGTCATGTTTTATCTCGCGAAAATAACTGCCTACATTGTATTATTCCGCCACGTCCCACACAGCACAGAAAGATTGCAGGAAGATTGCAGAAATGTTACATTGCAAGATTGCAATATTGCAGCAACATTGCAGAAATATTTCTTTGCAACATTGCAATATTGCAGAAATGTTGCAAAATGTTGCTGCAACACTGCTGCAATCTTGCAGCAACGGTAAAATGTCCGCCTTCAGAAATATTGCTACGTAACGTTGCAACAATGTTGCAATAAAATGATTATGCAATAATACTTTGGAAATGTGCCAGTATACGGTTGAGCTGGATATTTTATGCGTGATAACATTTTTCGTATAAATTTATATATATTTTTCGCTTAACAAACTGTGTGCTATTATTATATGTAATTAAATTTAATTATGTATATAATTAAACTTAATTACATCCCATACAGCACAAATTGTTACAGAAAGGTTTCAGAAAGATTCCAAAATTATTTCGATATTTCACATTTCATGCTCAACATGTCTGACAGAATTCTGCAATATGTCATATAAAATGATGCAACAGAAATGTTTCAGAAATCTATCATATGCAATAAATTTGAAAAAGTAATGTGAATATTACAGAAAGATTTTTCTCGCTTTTTGAGTCACATATATGGAACGTTGAAATGCTTGCCGCGCGACTTAAAAGACGATACGATAGCCAATCAACTTACAACTTTTGTAAAAGTATAATAAACCAATGATTGACTAATAAATACTGCGTCATCTTTTAAAATTTCAAAATATTGAAATCTTTCTGAAACCTTTCTGTAAT